TTCCAGTCCACTCAAAATAGCAGAATGTTTGATTTGTTTTTGAAATAAGCAATGTTTTTACCCTCACTTTCATCTGTTCCAGTAGTCTGATCTTGTCAGCCAGTCTGTATGATTGTAGATGGCTGCTAATTTAGTCACAGGAACGATTTCCTTGTAAAAATTCAAGTATTCATTTTAAATCACCCTGATGATGAATGCAGCAAGCACCTCTGAAACGTTGCTACATTTCTACCAGACTACATGGTGCAACAACCCAGAAGACAGCTAACTTCATATGTGGCACTTAATAAGAACATCTGTTATTATGAAGACGGCTGTCTTGTGGGTTGTAGCACTGTGTATGTTTACACAAAAGATGTCATATGTACATATTCTGGTGCTGCAACATCTACATCTACCATTCAGGCTTCATCCTACATTACCTGAAATTTGTGATTTGATTTTCCAACAATATTCTCAGCCTTTCTTTGATTTCTTGGAATTTTTCTTTTTCTTCATGTGTAACTGTTCCCACTCCATCTGGTCTGAAATGGCATTGCATACACTGTGAATTCAAAGTACAAACTGACAAAACAATGCACAATGGAAGAGCTCCATATTACAAACTACACTAAACTTACTGATCAAAGACAAACATATTACAAGACGTTTCTGTTAAATCTACAACTTTAATATAATCAAGCATATGTTATAATATTCTTGTCTTTCTTTTATTTTTGCATAAGAGTTCAACATTAAATGTTAATGTTAGTAAGAAGAATTACAATGACAAAAGATGTATATTTTGTTTATAACCCAGCATTTGCCAATGTAAGAAAGAAAATAAAATAATATAGGATTTGAGACTTTCGCGGCGAGTATAATCAATAAAATCTTCTCGGGCAATCAGACGCGTTAACTTGTCAACGTAGTAAACCGACGTTTCGGGAACAAACTCTGTCCCTATCTTCAGGGTTCTGAATGGATCTTCGGAAGACCTACAATGTGCACTATACAATGTAAAAATTAACATGAAATAAGACTATCTTGTTCATTAAGAATTTTAACATGTTTACAATTGCTCAGATGAAAACAAGGATCTCTTGGTACATTGTAATTCTTCCTTCTAGAATTTGCTCTCATGAATTGTTCTAACATATACTATATTTGATTCAAAATTTATATCAATTCAGACTAAATAAGGAATCGAAATATTACAGTTGAAACAAATAGTGTTATTGAAGGACACATGCAATAATTTTACTGTTTCCTCCAGTTGTGGTAATAAACAGGTTGCGGTTTTCTGACTTGACACTGTGTAGTCTTGTAGACAAGTACAAATGAGCCACATTAAAAGCAATGCTTCAAAATGAATCATGCCTATCCAGTGTCACTACCCAGAAGACCACGTCCCACTGTGAAAGCCTCAAATTTCTTTAACTTACAAATGTGTAAAACCTTGTGTGTGGTGTGTACTGTTTGCATATATATGTGCGTATGTCTGTGTGCACAAAATTTTTAAATTTTGTAATTTCTAGTGAGTCCTAATTTATATGTGAACTGAAAATGTTCAGTGTTAAGATAGAGAAGTGTACTGCTTTTGTGATAAGCATTTAGGAGTGATATTTTATTTTTCTGGAGGACAGAGACAGTAATGTGGAAAATATTTTCATCATATTACTGATGTTACTGGGATCCTTTTTCAAACCCCTTCATTACAATGGCAACACAGACTCAAAACTGGAAGGTCATTAAATCCTATAGCGATTAATATATTATAGGTTAGGTTGTTACTAATGAGGGAATTAAGGCAGTTTTTAAGATTAATCAAGTACATTTTACATTGTACACTTCAAGATTAAAAAGAGACTACTTCCAAATTAACATAGAGTGTTTTAAAGAAAGGAAATGAAATTATTTTTATTTATGAATGTAATGAAAGTTATTATATCATAGCAATAATTGTGGTTTTACAGTCATGTATAGTGTGGAAATATATGATTTCAGAAATTGTAAACAGGAGAAAAAGCACACCAAATATTCTCTTTCTCACAAAGAACCATATGATGAACATAATTCCTCATCATGTACAGCTGTTAATTCATATTATTGAATATTTAATATGTTCTGTGTTAAAAAACGATTTTCTTATAGAACCTTCCAGCTTTGTGTGATATCCAGAGGAACCACTTGGCCTTCCCTTCTGTTACTCACATGCCCATTCGTGCTTTACAATCAAACACTGAGTGTTGTGGTCCCATGCATGTGTTACTGTCAGCATGTGCAAAATGAGACTTCATCACTCACTTTACACAGTCAGTATTATAATGAACAATTTGCCTTCATGCCATAGAAGTGAGAAACAACAAACTACATGAGAAAGAGTTTTTAAAACAGAATATTTTATCTGCTATGCATGGGAATTTTGGAAAGCCAATAAATATTTTAAAAATGTATGGCAGTTAACTACACTTATACATAAATTAGCATATGTTTTATTTTTTTTATTACATTAAGTTTAAATTATGTTCAAAATAAAGGGATAAGGTGTGCATTTCAATGAAAGTCATTGAATCACTCTTAAAAAAACTAGCATAAGTTTTATTTTTGATAGTATTAGTTTTAAATGCTGTTCAAAATAAAGAGATAAGGTGATCATTTTAAAGTAAGTCAATGAATCAATCTTAAAAAAATCAACTTATAGCTTTGAGAATTAATTTCACATTTATATTTAAATAGATAACAAGTCAGAATGTTCTGAACTATAAAACAGTAAAAATTATCCTTGTAAAATAATTTCATACTCCACTGATACACATTGAAATTTCACTAAAATTTCATTCTGGGAACAAAATATGTTCGAGTTACATATTACAAGCAAAATGTTTACTTAAGTTCATTACTGAAAGCAACTGCGTGCATTTTAAAACACATGCAAAACAGCAAAAGTACTTGAAAGCTTTTAAAAGTGATGTGTTGCAAAAGAATAATAAATTATAAAATTAGTTCCAGAACAGCTTCAATTGTCATGATAAAAAAAGACAGTGTTTCAAATATTCAAGTCTATAAACTGTTCACCATTAATTCAAATTATTTACTTACAAAAAGTATAAAGCTCAAGTCAAATAATTTGTGATGTGATGTGCTGTTTGTAAGCTTATATAAGAAACAAGAGTACAATTTTATAAAAATAGATACACTTGTAGTTTTATATTTTCGAGCCTTGTAAAATGAATGTGAATAATGGAAGCTGCTGTTTATTCCATACAAAGCCTGATAGCACCACAACACTCTTCAATCACATGCAAACATCAGCACCAACCAGTGCAGAATGAAAAAAGTAGTGTTCAAGTGTTTACAAACCTGGCCACAGAGGTATCTTCAAGCACCTCCGTGCTAAGTAAAGGACGGTTAAGCATTAGAGTGGGGGACTGGCCGTTAGGTACACTGCAATGCATACCTGCAGCTTAAGCTTCGTCGTTTGAAACAACATGTTTAAATACAATGTATTCATCCCTTGTAATATACAGATGTAAACAATACAGAGTTAATGTGTGATAAAGCAACAGGAAATGTGTGTGATAACATACAATGACTGTGGAACTAAAACTTATTTCCCTCAACTAAATTACTTGTATAATACCTTTCCATATAACATGTCTGGAACTAGTAAATAAATTTAAGACACACACACACACACTACTTTCAGAAATTATAAATATTAATTTTATCCAAAATGCAATCTGATCCAGTTCAGTACGTGGATACTTGTTGCAGCAAACGTAACCAGACTTTTAGAACAGCTGGTCTAAATATTTATTGTAATATGAATGTTTAAAAACACCAAGTTTATTATAAGAAAATTATTTTTAGAAAGGTTACTACAGACTGTGCCAAAAAAAAGAGCATAATAATATCCTGAATTGTTTAAAAGATTGCACATAAGTACATTCCTATCATTCTATCTTTCTGATAAGAACTTCCAAACTGGAGATGTGTAACCTCATTCTTCCAGTTTTTAAAATTCTGTCAGAAGACTAATTTATAGTGAAAACATTCCCATCAAATGTTTCAGACTTAATATTTTGCATTTTAACTATCAACTTAAAGGATAGTGCTGAACCATGATTCCTTCTACATGTAGAATAATTTTACTTGGGTACCATTCCTTACAGCTGCATTTTATCAACTTCCAGGGTATGATAAGATGACAACTAAATGTGAAGAACCCTCAACTTCTACTGAACAGTTGGTGTACCACAGACATTTACTGTAATATCCTCTGGATATGAGCCAGATCTAAAGACTACTCTAGACAACCAGTTATAACAATAAAAAAATCTTCATCCTAATTATAATCACAATCTAAATATGCTAATGAAAGTGAATTGTATATGACATAAATCATTACACAGAATACAAAACAATAATAATGTGAGTAGGATTTGAATCAGGAACCAAATAATCATTACCACTAGCAATTTATGCTTTAAAAATGAGTAATAATAACTGTGTGGATGTATAATAAATGTAAAGCTTTCATTTATAAAATCTTCTCAAGTTGTCAGCTGTGTCAAATAGATGAAACCTGCAAATGTTCTGAGGACAGAGATTGTCCTCAAAACGTTGGCAAGTCTAAGCCATTTGAAATGGCTGATAACCGTTGAAGATTTACTAATTGCATGGATGAGTTTAAGACAGCCAATGAATTAGGAGGAAGGGCATTAGACACATAAATATTTCATAGCATATTAACATTTCTACCAATTTTTATGAATAAATTTATCTATTTTTTTAGTTCCTATAACATATTTTTAAAATTGGTTACACTGATTTTACTGTCATAAAAGTTGTTTGATTTCAGGTGAAGAACATTAGTACTATTATCAGATCTCAGTCTGGTTTCATCTGAAGAGCATAAGTATTACTGAAGGATTTCAGTTTGGTTTCAGCTTAACAGGAATGGACGTATTTAGGTACCTTTCAAACCCTTGTACACTTTAATTACAGTTAAAGAAGAAGATGAAGGAAAAATATGAAAATATTGATAAAAGGAATTTAATTATGCTTTCACACCAAGTAATTAAAAGTTTAAGAACATGCCAGATTTAAGGACACACAGAAAGAAAACAAAACACCAATCACTCCCCCTGCCCCTTCACAAATAGTAAGAGGGTTGCAACAAGGACACAAGCTGTTGGCTGCAGGTTTACAGTGCTTTTGGAAATAGAGAAGCCAGAGAACTACATTAACATAATCACACAAACTTTTGACATGGACCCGACAGTAGGTTACCATGCACTGCAGGTTACAATTTACAACTTCAAATATAAATATTATTTATACTTGAAGTGACTGACACAAAACACTGCTAACAGTTAAAAGAAAATATTACTGCATACTCATATTTAAAAGAATGTAAATTCTGTAAAACATGCATTTAAAATGTGATGGAAAAGACAATAGTTGATAGGAGTTTCTGAAGAGATTGTGTTTTTTTGACTGATGTATCTGTTGTCACATAGCTCCATTCCAGAAAGTTTTCTTTTAAGAAGTTGAAGGAAAAAACAATTAGAAACAGGTGAACATGGAATATTATATGTTGTGCAAATATATGTAATTAAATGAATTGTACATCACACTTCTTAACTGTGTAATTATTTCAGTGTCTGCATAGCTAGATATGCTTACAGAACAGAGTAATTTATCAGATATGTAATAGACAAGATCTATGAAAGATTTATAATACTACATATTAATATACATATAATGGTAAGAAAATTTAATATATATTCCCAGTAAAAAAGCTATTTTTAAGTCCCATAAAATATATTCTGCTAAAGATCATTAAATTACTCTGGATTATAAGTACCAGTCACAAGTGAGAACTGTTCTCATAAATGATGAAGTTATACACAATAAAGACATTCATTAAATTAGTAAATACATTAATCTGAACAATGTTGGCTAGAAATATATAGCCAGAATTTCAAACTGTAATAAGTCTCTATTTGAAAGATATATATATCTTATTCAGTGTTTACTCCATTTTAAACAGAGACTCACTGCATCTGTGCCTACACCATATCAACTTAATTTGGAATCAACATGAATATAAAGTAACAACTTTATGGTAACATCAATGAACTGGTACACTTCCATGATGTTTCCTTGGTAAAATTCTGTATAAATTCATGATCTAATCCATCCTAGCTGTGTCCAACTCATCATATCCGTCCAGATTTCACTACCCAAACAGTATTGGTTGGCATGTAATTAAGAAATGAATAATATTGATGATGATGGTGATAACACTGGTGGTTGTGGTGGCGATAGTGATGATGATGATGAAACATTTATTAAGTTGTTTTCTCTTATACATAGGTCTGCGTAACACAGAGTTCTTGTAGTTATAACCAAATGAAGAAACAGCAATTTTTTAATATTCCAAGACTTATTTTTTTTTAATTTAATTCCTCACAATGACATGTCACTGTAGATATCTGGATAAATTTTTGGAAAAAATATGAAGTCAGTGACATTAATCAAATTTCCAAGCCACTACTTTAGAAAACAATACTAAACTGCTAAAGAGCAAGAATAAAGTCAAGAACTGAATTGTGCTCTGAATGCATGGGTTAAGCCCCTTCTGCAGTGAGCCCCTATATATCTCAGATACATGGAAACAGAAACAAACACATTGCAATACACAAACGGTGTAGTACCCACCTGTTGCCATGTACATGGCTAGCACAGAAGGCAAAGCTGAAATGGATGAGTGTTGGATCTATCATGATGCCCTTCTCAGCTCTGTCCAGTAAGTCACTGAGATAACAGAGGTGGCGGTAACAACCCCGTACTCCATACCTTGCACAGTACTCGTCCAGTACAAACACTTGTCCTGGACTAAACCAGCCCTGTACAAACATCACCTTCATCATCCAGCAGAACAGAATGTTATTTCTGAAAATTTAAACTAAATTTGAACAGTACTTCAGAAATGCTTTTTAAATTCAAATTATACTCCTGAAACAGTCTTAAAATTTTATAAAACTACGACAATTCCAACGCTAACCTATGGGTCAGAATTATGGGTCCTAACAGCAAGGCTACAAAGAAGAACAGAGATGCGGCTGCTACGACCTCTGGTGGGTTATACACTTCTAGATCACCAGCGAAATGAAGACATCAGCCAACAACTTAACATCCAAAATGTTATGGACACCATAAATGATTATATAAACTCCTGGTACCACCATGTCTCTTGAATGAACAACAATCGCATCCCATAAAAAATAATGAGATACCAGGCTAAAGGAAAATGCAAGAAAGGAAGACATGAAAAGATGGAGAGAAAAAATAAGTCTGGAGACAGAACAGGCTTAATAGCCTAAACCGTGCAGTTCATGATGATGATGATTATTCTCCTTAATGTTTTCAAGGTAAGTATTGGTCAAACATCAAAACTCTTCATTTAATTTATATTAATAAGAATTATGCAAATTTTTAAGAAGACTGGATTGTCTTCTGAGATGTTGTGCTGTGCAGCGTTCCTGTTTCCATCATCAGCTTCTACCTAGCGTGGTAAAAGTTTGCAAACATTTCAGAGGCGGTTCCTGTTTCCATCATCAGCTTCTACCATACATCCTGACATCCTCATAATCAGTGATATAAGAACCTGGAATTTTACCTAAATAAACTTTGTTCATAAATCAATTAATTTAATTATTTTCTGGGTGGTGGACAAAACCGAATATTTAATTTGAAAGAGCATTAGATTCAGTTTTAGGACAATAATTCAAATTGTAGAAGTGAAAGCTGCTTTAATTACAAGATACACAGAGTTTGTGTTCCACTGTAGTGCTACAACTCGAGAAATGTTGCAGCGTGCAGCTACATTCAGCATTACCTTAGTTCACATCATATTTACACAGAAAACTTTCAGTTATTCATGGCAAAAAGGGAGATACTGGTGTGAATATTCAAAGCAGTGAATAATCTGAAAAATAATGCTACATATTGATGTTTGTCTTCTGGGTTGTAACACACATTGTATTATATAATTTACTTTGACAATGACCTTACTTTTGATGATTGTAAGTCATTATGTAAGTAAGTAAGCCCATATGTCACAGAATAGTATATTATCTTGTTCCAAATAAACAAGTAATCTTTCAGTTTCTTCAAGCACAGCTACATGGCTATTTTGTTTATGTGATTAACACCTTCTTCATCCTCAGTTTCTTCTATTTCAATTGGCTCATTTTGTTAGTCAGTAACAAATAACCATTTACTTTAGTCTTTGAGTTACTGTTCAATGGCGTGCATCCATTTTCTTTACTGTCTGTAAATATTTATTACCATGAGTTTTATGGTAAATGGCTCTACCATGTCCAATGCCTCTGTTATTTTTATATGGCATCTAACAGTGTAAACTACATGTCGTGTAAAGTCAGCAATCACTGATTGCAAAATGCATCTCAGTAAAGTACGAAAATGTGCAAATTTTAGTGAAGTGATTCACGCATTAAAAAGTTCACAAAAGATGAAGTTTGAAGGAAGAAGCTTACAGTCCACAGAGTGTACAAGTGAACCACTTTAATACCTGACCAGATGAGTTGAGAAATGGCATTTCTGAAAGTACTTCAGTTAATTTGAAAATTGAGAGCTATTAAGCATGAATCTTAAGTGTAATCTGACTACTGCAAAGTGGAAATATTAAATAATGAAAATAATGCTTTTAAATAACAGAATAAGGTCATTCCACAGATAAAAAATCCATATTTCTACTTTTAGTGTTAAAAGTCACATGATCACTTCATGAGCAAAGGAAGTACATAATATAAAATAAATGGAAGCAAGTCTAAATTAAACACCTCACAAATGTAAAAAGCAAAACACTCAGCTCCTCTATCAGTTATAAGTTTCGACTGACACTAATACTCATTACGAAATAAGTAAATTTAGCTACAAGAACTGCTGGATGGTAGTCATGAGGCAAGAGAATTACATGACACATCTTTTATGACTCTACATATATCACTTCATAGTGCTCTAAGGAAACACTGGTTCAGCCATGAATATGCTTTAAAATTAGTGATACAGTCAGATGAATCAATTTATTAATGCACCAAACTGTCATATTTTAAAGTGATGTATTGCTAGTTACAATATATTACCATACCAGAGAACAATATGGGTCATTAAGTCTGTAATCCAATGTCAATGTTTGTAGCATTTTGAAGAGGGAGGCATGGTCAAATTTACATGGGTCAGCTGATATGAATTCCTCCATCCCATGTTTCCTTGCCCTGTCAGCATCTGTAAATAAGAAAAGCAAACAAATAAAGTTTGTACATTTAACAACACTGGTTAACACAATGGCCAACAACAGGAGTTTATCCATACTACAACCAGTACTGACATTTCAGCAAAATATTTTACACATCCATCAACACCAGACTGTGAAGTGAAAAGCTGGTATTACGCTGCCCAATTTATGACAGTATTTTATACCCTATTCCTCCAACAAATTTAATATTATATGAATATTTTTTACCGCCTTGTATTTTGGAAATTGTGGAATTCTTGCCAGCTGGTGTTACAGGTGGAGTTGGTTTGTGGGACTGTCCTGTGGCTCGGTACATTGCCATTACCCACAAGTGGCATTCATTTTCATCATCACATGCATACAAGATACTGTCTCCTTCCTTCACAGCATTGAAGAAGAAGCGACCTCCTTCCAAGTCTGTTAACAGGAAAGTGAGAATAAAATTCAAAATAAAAAATAAAGAAAAATAAAAAAAGGAAAGAAAAAGTATATGAAAAAATCCCTCTTTTACATTTTAATTTCTGTTCATTTTTACATTTCTCAATGAGATGAATCACTATGCTCAACCGAGTTTGTAACAGAAAGAAATAATCAGGAATAAAAATAAAATTTTTCTACAATGTACTAGTACTATTACACGTACTTGCATTAGTACACACAGACATCAACAGCATTGCAACAAATTATATAAAAATATTCTTACTGAAATGAGATTAATGAAAAGTAAATTCAATAAGAACTGACATGTCTCTTGCAAATGTAATGCAAACCAAATACTAGCACCTGCCTTCATGTACAGTGCAAGCTGGAAGCATTGAAATGATTAATATACAATTATTTCTCTTACTCAGATATTCAGAAGTTTGATGTGATCCTGGGAGGACTGAAGAAAACAAAGAAACTACCTCAGTCAGGCTAGCAGGCCTCCATGCATAGAATTTAAACTGGGACCTCCTTAATATAAGGCAGCAATGCAAATCACTCGGCTGTGACATTCAGTTCAAAGTGACATCACATGCTTAAATTAATGACATAAACTATGCAAACATAAAGTTAAATAAATACTGGCGGTAAAAATACCTATTTTTATATCTAAGAGAAACTTACCCATTCCAACCATAAGATTTGCTGGAAGAAAGGAGCATATTTTAATAACTGTTTGTAACATTATGATCTGTGAATACGGTACAATATTACAATGTAAGTAAATTTAACTTTAGTATAACACCAACTCCTAATTTAAAAACAGGAAAATTTTATGCAAGTGTTAGAATTAAAATTCTCTCCTTAGAAATAACCCAAGAAATATTAAAATTTGACTAGTTTCTTCAAATAATCTTACTTGTTTGCAGCATGGAATTTATGATTGTTGATGAAGACACTACTATCTGCATTGCTAATTACTTATTTAAGCCTTTAGCTCCAGTACTTATGAAGTATGAAACCATAAGTTATATAGTTTTCTCTGAATTTACCACATAGCAAGAAAAATATATATCTTTAACCCTCAAAGAATGCATCCATCTCCTTAAATATTTAATATGGAAATATTCTGTACCATTAAAATCCCAAAGGGATAGCAGACCTACGTTTTTCTCATTTCCGTGGCGTCAATTTGTGATCCATACTTCTGTGAATACCACACACTAAATAACATTAAAATGAAAAATCATCAAATATTTTGTTAATATTTTTCTGGGTTCTGACACAATGTGGTCCCACATGTAGATACCTAAATGGGTTTAAAATGGATGCAGTACATTTCTTTGAAACACTGGTATCTACCTACAAGTGTATATGGTGCCACAAGCCAGAAAAACAACAAACACCTTCACCACAATGAGAACCTCAAATCACACAACAAATATTTTACCAGAAGTTTATTTCAGTAATAAAATTCATTGATATTTTCCATACAATCACTGACACACAGAAGGCAATACTGTAAACAATCCTTACCACTGGCAGGCTCAATGTAATCCACTGTGTACCCATCCAACTGCATCATTTCTGAAGGCTCAGACTTCTTCTCTTTATAACTACACATAGCAAACGTATATTGTGATACTTGCACCAGAACATAGTACCGCTTCTTCCATTTTTTCCACACTGCTTTTCCAATTGCATAAAGGTATCTGAAATAAGCACAACTTTCTAGCATACATAATAATACATTACTCGGAGTGATGTTCAACGCCTTTGAATTCTTTGTTATGCCATCCCACACAGTAACTGTAAAGAAAACATCAGCAAGGGCCTCTGAAACAATGGTGAACTTCTACAAGACTACATGGCACTACAACCCAGAAGACATCCATCTTCATACTCGCCACTCTGAACCCTAAAATCCTATTTTAATTTCTTGTAATGTGCTTAACGGTAAAGAAATATATATGAATGTAACATTCTACAGAATATGGCCATTTAGACTATTTTTAAGTGAATTGCATCAGGTATGCAAGATACTTAGTATGGAGAAGAAAAGACACATGTGGTTACAATGAAAGAGTCTTAGTCATTTGGGTGGAGAATCTTAAAAATGGTTTTACCAACATTTGAAACAAAGATGATATATAAAAAAGTCACATCTATGAATACAATTTACTTACCCACAGTGTTTCATATTCAGAGGCTTGTCCATTCTGCAAGCAATTTTTATCCGTAAGTCTTGATCTGCACAGTTCTTTGGAACAACCATTTTGTGCCACTCAGGAACCTGCAAGAAACAATGGAATAAATAAAAAGATAAATGTACTCAATACAGTATCAAACAAACATTCTTATGCAAGTGGCTCATCTTGCTTCCTGCTGGAAGTGTTACAGATAAAACAGATTACAAAAGCAAATGATTCAACAAGAAGGCTTCTCCCTATATTGCATTTCTGTAGTACTTTGCATCCAGTTGCCACACACTTCATTTTATTACATCCAAAACAGTAAAGTAAAGTAAAGTTTGTCCCACTATACGCCATGTAGGCGTTTGGGGAGAGAGGAGGTATAGCTCTTCCCTTCCTTGACCTCGGCACTAGATGGGGGTGAGTGGTCAGCATCGCGCCCCGGTCGGCTTTACCCCCGGGAAAGGACCCCGGTACCCATTGGGCCCCAGAGCCGGTCTGGACGCAGAGGCTAGAGGAAAAATCCTCTGTCGGGGATCGAACCCCGGCCGTCCAGCCCGTAGCTAGTCACTATACTGACTGAGCTACCCCGGCTCATACATCCAAAACAGTGCTCTCTAATATTTCCAGTAACTTATATCCAAACACACATTATAACAGAACTGGGTGTACAACTCTGCTTTGTAAGGTACTGAAGAATATAAAGGAGTTTGAAGTCCTAGGTAGAGGTAGGGAATAAAAGCAAATTGTGAGAATTCGGGTTCTCACAGAAGCAAGTGTGAAAATGGTTGTCTTGTGGGTTGTTGCACTGTGTAGTTTGTTAGAAATTTACCAGTGTTTCACAGGTGACTGCTGCCTCCATCATCAAAGTCATCACTGGTGGGATAATGGAGGCATCAAGCACCTCTGAAACATCAGTAAACTACTAACAAACTACACAGTGCAACAACCCAGAAGACAATCATTTTTATAAAAGCAAATTATTTATTCTTTAAAGACAGGATTAAAATTAGATTAATGATAACTGCACAAAAGCAAATTATTTATGCTTTAAAGACAGTATTAAAATTAGATTAATGATAACTGCACAGTACCTTTGATGACAGTGGTGTTGGTCTGAGTATCACTTTACCCAACTCTTTGTCTTCCAGAGCCAGCATGCCAGGATTTTCTGTATATAATTTCACTTTAACAGCTGGCAATGGATGAGTTGATGAGAAGTCACCCTGAGTATCCCACCTAAGAAATAGGTATTGGCTGATATCAGGGCTATATTACAGTTACTTTCACTAATTAAAATATGCTGTAAATTAATTGGGACTTACCTTTATTGTAAAACTTTGTGTATAGTACTGGGAAAAGTGTCTAAAGTTTTTTAAATTTTTAACTTCAAAACTACTCATTGGGTTTTGATTAAATTTCATACTGGTGGTTCACACTAAATGTAAGTGGCAAATTTTATTGTTTTCCCTAGTGATGCAATATGCATGCTTATTCCAAAATATTATCTTCAGATTTTTCTGGATGGAATATGGAAAGCCAAATAAAAAGTAGTGTTTAGTTAGGACAAGTATTTTCAGATCTAGACCGAAATTGGGAACATCCACAATATGAATAATAAGATATACCATAATGTATTGTTTGGAAATATAAGGGATATCTGTTTATTTTTTCAAAGAAGTGTCGAAGGGTGCTAGAAGGGTAAGAAAGTCTTTGGGTATTACAGACCTCAAGAGATAAAACATAATAACGCAGGACTGAACTTTTAAGCAATAGTCTGATTGCATAAACCTGGTGGAAAGATCTACACTGAATAATACTTACATTGGTTTGGAGGCTTCGGCTTGATCTGTTTGCAACTTCTCTCCTCCCTCTACTTCCATAGTACAATATACAATTCTGTTTGGAGCCAGAGACTTCAAACCTTTCACTTCCATTACAACCACCTGAAGGACAGAAAGGACTGCACAATATCAAACTGAATACATGTTTTATTTATTTTGCCCTTATTTAACAATGCTGTCAATAGCCCAGACCATACAGCATCGATGATAGGATGATTAATAGATCATGATCAATGCATTATTTTTGCTTCATTGATGAAGCTAGAAGTGCAAGGGAAGCAGGTATTTCCTTCATATTTCTTGAATATGTTGTCCAATGACATTCCAATTTAAAGATTCTGTGTCTGAATCTGACTGCGGACAAACAATTTTATTTGCAAAAAGTAAACACTTCACAAACATTCTTGTTTCTTAAAGTACACTGATTGCTTAAGCAAAATATTAATTAGTACATCAGCCCTTAAAAGGGCAGACTTCAAGACCTGGTATCTTTAATAAGATGTTCAAAATCCCTGATCTTGAGCCATGAATCTCATTCAATAAAACTTCATTAGGAATTGTTCATTAATTGAATTAAGAATAATACATAAGCATTCATTTGTTCTTGGGAAAATGACTTTGAATCTTTGTTTTGACTCACCTCCAGTTGGAAAGTCAGAACAACGTCCAACTTGGTCAGTTGAGTGTCACTGTCCGCTGAATCTCCTTCCAGCTTGCCCATTGATCCTTGTGATCTGTCATTATATAAAGCCATTAATTGAAGCGATGTCTTGCTCTGACTTCAGACTGCAGCCAGGCTGAGGTGACATGGAGTCAACACGCACTTCACACTTATGCACTTGCATAATTTTTCGACAACACATGGAAATAAAACTAAGCTTTCCCTCTTGATGCAAAACAGAAGAAAGAAACTAAAATATTTAAAACCTTGATATGCAAAATATTAATTTAACTGAACCTCCCAAAACATAACTCAACTAAATGAAGCCGGAGAGTTCATATGCAACTTGTGCTTAAGAAGGTGATCAAAATTCATCCAACTTTAAGAAGTCCAATACAAATGCAAAAGAAATAAATATTGCACTGTAATATAACTAAAGAAATACTACAGCAGATTATGCTACTAATGTGAATGCATTAAAATAAATAAAACTGCAGTGATTTCAATAGAACAAAATGGATTAAAATGCAAAAAATAAAGAAATGTTGCTAAAGCACTACCTGCCTTAAGACAGAGCTTCTCCTTCGACTATGGACAGCAAAAGAGAGAGTATCACTGTATTAGTTGACAACCAATGAAAACAACCAAATATGTTGCTATCATCCAATGCTTTGCAACATTTCTCAAGTAGGTACAACTTAATTAAAATTACTTATTACATACATAATCTCTTCCAATAAATATAATGACAAAATTAATTTGGAAATATCCACATTTTATAATTACTATGTACCATTAATAATCCACAATCAGGGCTTTCAATTTAAATTATGACAATGCAATCAGCTATTGCCAAACACATTAATATTAATCTTTAGAATAATTTTGTTGAAAATATGACTGTGGGCACATATCTCCAACTGTTAGGAACAAAAATATTTAACAGCCATATTACAAGTCATGCTCCATACTATCAAACATAATTCATATATCTAGAACAGAAACAAATCTATATACTCAGCAAACAGAATATATCAGGCAACCTATATAAATTAAAGTAAACATTTACAAGTACACCTCAATGCAAATGCACAAAAGTTACCATTGCATCTATTTAAAATCAATAAACGTATTGGAGAAAGAATCAGATGCACTATCACATAATATAAAACCTCTTTCTACCTCCCACACTCAACAAATTTGCCTGGAAAAAGTATAGGTTAGCAGCAAACATAACACATAACATAGCTGAAACCATGCCAAGAAAAATTATATAAAAGCTTACATGACTATGAATGGATTATCAATCATTTATTACTGTTAAAAAGTTATAATAGTAGGCATCTTCGTTAGAAACCTCAACTTAATTTCCCCAATAGTACAAGCTACCAACAGAACTATAATTAAAATTCAAAACTGAAAATCATAAAGTAAAATGTGGAACTTGTAGTTTGGATTATAATAGATGTTTCTTTTGATCAAGAAAAAACATAAAATAAATAAGGTTTATGATTATTAAATTAAAGAGAACTGAAATCTCATGTGTATATTGCTTCTCAAGAGGACTGACAATTCAGTTTTACTGTTATAAAGTGATGTTGTAGTAACAAAATGTTTACTTGCTGTATAGCTTTCTTCTAGTTTGTAACACCTACATTAAATCATTCCGATTTTTAAAATAAAAATATCTTTCAGTAATTATTTTATGACACATACATGTGCACATACTCACATGGAGGGACAGATACCACATACATTTAATGTGGCATTAATATTAATAAAACACCGACATTCAAGGGCAAAATAAGGAAAGAACTTGTAAATTATATTTTTTACATGAATGTAGTGTGAATACGAGTATGATGTGAACACACGACACACAAACAAAAACAGCCACACACGTATAACAGCACATGTAAACTATCGCCTATCAAACATGTTAAAACTTGGAACTGTTACGGGATTCTTGAGGACGATTTTCAGACATTTGCCTCTGCTAGAAGTGCTTTCTAAAATTGAAATATTCCCTTTAAATTCATGAAGACGACAGACTTCCGTGGTCGTTCATGCTTTGATAGCTTGCACTGACATGACTGCTCAATTAGTGTGCCATGTGCAATGATGGTAGACAATATTCCTATATACTATATGGTAGAATGACAAAATAATGGCACGTCTGCAATTATAAAAGTATCAAATATTGCTACTTCTGTGAAATTTACATTTCAAAACTTACATAATGAGGCACCTCTTAATTTGTATTCTTCACCAAATATTGCTGGATGATCAAATCAAAGAGGATGTGAAGGACAAGGCTTGTAGAACACACTATTTTGATGAGACATGCAGAATAAATCTCAGCTGGACAGTATAAAGGGAAGAGACCACGTGGAAGACAGAAGGATAATATTAAAATTAACTTTAAATTTGGAGGGTATGTGGGTGTGGACTGGATTAATCTGGATCAGGATACTAAGGCTTTTGTTAACACAGTAATAAATCTTAATATTCCATAGAAGCTGGAATTTCTTGACTAGCCGAGTCACATCAGATTCTCAAGATGATTTCCCTTTCTTGGAGTTAATTAACTGTCCTTCCCATACCACTCACAATGTACAAAAATAAACAACCCTATTAAAGTCTGTGACACACACTAACTCAATGTAGCAGAGTTATTGAGAAGCTGACAGTCGCTCAGCCAGTCAAGAACTTCTTCACCTTGTTTGGAACCTGTGACACCCACACAGAATAACAATTATTCGTTCTTAAACTTAATTAGTAAGACTGATCTTATTGCAAATTAATGCATAACAGTACTAAGACAGCTTATAGAAAGCATTTTAAATCTGTAATCTTCTTTAATCAGATCCTGCCTACACATGTGTGATTTATCATCTTTCAAATTTAGATGTTTTATATTATTGTGGTTAATTTGTCTCCATTCATTAATTCCATTGTTAAATAAAGCCATGCTGTGTAAAGCACTAGCCACATCCCAATCATGCTTAAGGAAGTAATACTGGGTTATTAAAGTTTAAGGAATGGTAATGCTATGTATTTTAGAAACATATGGTAATGCATTATTTTGTCACTGATTGGATTCAGTGAATAAATGCCAGTTTTTATAATCACTGACAAATTCCTCTTCAATTTTCTTGTAGCAAAATAGAATTACACTAAATTAAACCACATACTTCATTAAAAAAAGAATTTAGTGCCTGCTGGCAACAAGATAATTTATACAACACTGATAAACATGAAAACCTATTCTACTGTAAAAATATAAAGAGAAGTAAACAACTTCTGAATAAAACATTAACATATTAAAGAACTGCCACATCAGTAATAACAGGATTCATCTAGTATTGTTTCAAACTTTAAACTATGTAACTCGGATATGTAGGAACTAACTGCTTCTTATATAAACATGCATATTTTACAGTGTATTTCGTATACCAAGAATCATTTGTACAAGATAGTTCCCATCACTTAATAAGAAATCGGGACTTAGAAAATATATTTAGAAAAAAAACCACTGAACATTTACACAAATATAACAAACCTGTGGTTATACTTCTTCAGTTTCTGCAGTCCATATTTGGAATCCATTGATCCTTTAGATACAGGCTGAGATTCCAGATTTGCCATCAGCAAGTTGATAGATGACTTCAGTTCTTCAATATATAAAGATTCCATTTCTTTCAAAACAAATTTTGGCATCAGTTTCCGGTTCTGGAAAGAAAGTTGTGGTAAATAACATGATTGTGAAGTGAATCACAACTGTATGATGCTATTCTACTACATATTTATGAGTATTCTCTAGAAAACCTAACACCCAGGCCAAACATTATTCCTTCATTGAATCCCTTAACCTCACTTCACCTAACAAATGTTAAAGCACATACCACAGGAAGGGTTTACAGACACAACAATGGTAGATCATCATGATGCAGACCCTTGCTAGATTATGCAAGACTCAGCTTATACAAATCTGAGATCATGATGCAGACCCTTGCTAGAGTATGCAAGACTCAGCTTATACAAATCTGACTTCAAATACAAACAAATACATTTTAAAAACTATTCATTCTACTATTTTCATAAAATTACTTACTGCAGGCATAAATTTTTATTTAAGAAGCTACCACTATAAATTAAGCTACGTTAGGTATATAAGGATGTTACACTAGTACCACCACAGCATATAACACAATAATTATATATATTATAATAATAGTAATTAAAAAAATTCAGCTTGTGTGTTTCCTGAACTCATCCCTTATGTAAGTTGGAGATTGTATGAACACAGTCAACTCTTCAATGAAATGATCTCTTGTTACCTATTATCAGTTAATTTTAGTATGTGGATAAAATATCTGTTTCCCATCTCTTTCTGGGATGCTGTTGTAAAAGGTGCTGCTTCCCTTGTCACTAAACTTGCATGTTTTACTTTGAATTACAGCTACAATTTACAGACCAAGTCATATTCATTTGTCTGGTGCTATCAGGATATCTCTGTATGGTTGACATTTACACTCCACAGAATTCTTCAACACAGGAACATTACCTACAACCTGTTTATTGCAATGCCTCCTCTTGTATAGTATTGTTTCTTACCTTTTCCATTTCTGAAACTTTTTGCATCCTACCATCCAACTCCCTTCTTATTGCAGCAGCCTGTTCGTCTGCAGAATCCAACTAGAAGAAGAAAATGTAAATACATATACATAATATGTACATTCTGACAGATCATGTGTATGACTGGCACAATTGAGGTAACAACTAAGTCAATTTTTTGCAAAAATGCTACCAATATTCAGAATGGACTCGTCGAAATATTGTTGACGTCCTTATTGAGGTCTTCATAGCGATGGATATATCAGTTGTTGTCTTCTTGGTTGTAATGCCATCTAGACTTGTAGGTGGTTTCTATTTCAGAGGAAGAAATCACTTTAATTTTCAGGGAAAAGATGGAGGTGCTATGTTCCTCCACAATGTTGGAAACCACCTAGAAGACTACAAGATATCACAAAAACTGAAAATGAAATTTACGTTATGAAATGAGAGTCTAAATTTACCTGCAAGGCATTGAATAATAGCTGGTGCTCAAACTTTTTGATTCCAAGGATTTGTTGGAACATATCATACAGCTGCTCTTTAGACAAGATCAGCTCACTGTTGAGAGACTGCTGTTGCATCCTGGATGGTCTCTTTGAGTCGTCGTCACCTACTAGAAAAGTCTCATCACAATAACTGAATAAATACATAATATCCACTCAACCAAAGTGGTCCCTACTTTACCCAAGCTGTAATATCAGTTGGCAGTGGTTTTTATGTAATTTAATGAGGGGTAATAGAATAATTATGTATGGTAAATTGAAATGAACTGAGAAGAAACATCTTTGACATCTTTTAATATATTCTTCCAGCATCTGCCTGGTGAACTTGAGGTTAACCATGAAAAATTGCAACCAAGATAGACAGTATCCTGTCTCTGATTTAAAACCCGAAATGAGTACAACTAAGACTCACTGCTGCTCAAGTTAACCTGCCTCATAATTTGCCAGCAGACCTCATATGTTTACAAAGATGAATACTACTTCATATCAAACTAGTCAAAAATTTCATTCATTGCAATGTAATAACTATGAATATTACAGATTACTGATGAGGTTGTATTTTTACTTTATGTTAGGTTAGGATAGGTTAGGTTAGGTTATGTTAGGTTAGGTTATGTTAGCCTAAGTTAGTACAGATCACTTTAAAAGGTTAGGTAAGGTTAAGGTAGGGTGGGCTGGGGTGGGTTTGTTTACTTTTTGTTAAGTTAGTTTAGGCTATATGAAATAACTTTGTTTGGGTGCAGGAAAAGTGTTTAATGAAATCCGTATTCATAGCTCCTATACAGTGCTCAAAATTAACATGAACAAGTTGATGTATACCTTTAAAAATGCAGTCAAATTTTGCCATCCAAGAAGTAAGTACAGTTTCCTTGCTAAGCCCATCAATCTCTGGCAGTGATCTACAACATACAGAAACAAGAAATAGCCATGTGAATTATAGTACCACCCATCATACTGAAGTGTTTCAATGTATAACACTGTCTTTCAAAGGGTTTCTTCCTGTAACAGGATGTTATAGCAGCATCTTCGTTTATAAAGTAAATATTCTGATAACAACTTCGTATTAAGAAATGTAGCCATGGCACTTTTAGGTACTTTAAAAGTTCTTTTGTAATAAACTTTAAAATTATTGCCTCCTCAAAGGCAGAAGGCTGCATTACCATGTAAATACAAAAATGCAATATGAAAATTAGGAGAAAGATGAAGGACACACTGGGAAGATAATTTAAGATAAGTATGGATGTTACATTTCCTAATCTGTCAAGACATGAAGACCAGTATTACAGCTAAGTGTAGTGGGAAAGACCGTCAATATACAAGGCCTCTTGTCCAATCAATCTCTAGCTCAAATCCTGTGACAGTAGTATAGTATCAATTAATCTACCTGTCACTTCTTTTCCAAATTGTGGGTTCTTCAAAAAACTAGCATCCCTACACAGGCAAAGAAAATTAGGGCTATATATTACATAAACATTTAAAGAAGATGATACGTTCCTCTGGGCTGTGATACCGCAAGAACCACAAATCTCTGACAACTTGTTTGCGGAGTTAAGAATAGTACTGAGACAAGACAGAGACCATAATGTACAGTTTGAGTCCAAGCTCTTTTTTCATGCAGAATGAGGTATGAGAAGAGAGGAGGTGGAAAAAGGAAAAGTGACAGAGCCAATCAGGAGCCGTGAAGGACACTGCTTGTCTGATGTACACAATTAATATTCACCCTAAAAATATGTCTTCTCAGTAAGAAGCCAGAGACTAATGACCTGTGCTCTGTCATGCGTACAGGATCCACCCTCAGCGAATTATATTCTTTTTGGTAACAGCGACAAATAGTAGAGGAAATCAACTTCGTTCGACCAATAAGATGTGACATTTAAGAACTATGAATGGTAGCAGCATCATCATACCTACCTAACACGCTTCTCAATATTATTTCTGAACACTTCTCGGAAATCATGCTGAGAACAAGCGCCTGATTGTACCATCTTCATAACCCTCTCAGATTTAAGAAAAACTTCAAAGTAACTCTGTACAGCATTTTGAAAAGCCTCATCTGCCATAATCTGTGTGTCACCCTTCAGGAAGCTCTGAAATTTGAAATTACACATAATATTTTAAATGTTTAAAAAAAAAAAAACATGATACAAAGATAGTTCAGATATATTTATGATAATTATTACATGCATATTTTTGTTTAGATTTCAATTAATATTTAGCCTCTTCATGCGATCTGAATCATAAATGTTATAAATAAATCACTGTAACTAACCTGGAAACGCCCCTGGATTACTTCCAGTTGCTGCTTGGTAATTTTGGTATGCCGTCGTGTCATGTCACCTGGTTGCTTAGCATTAAATGGGTAAGTAATGCATCGTGATATGAACACATACAGTTGAATTTTTCGTTTACGCTCTTCTTCTTCGCGTTCCTGTTTATCCTGAAGAATTAAAAAAAGTAAAGTAATTTGTTAATGATTCTTCACATTCAAGGAAAAGCAAAAGTATGGCAGAGTCACATAGGAGTAACATCTGCATTTGCAGTCCGCGACTGTAATCTTGAGACTTGCGGGGTGAGGAAGTGGGGCTTGGGACCTCCTGCATTCCTTGCAAGTCCCAAAATTACAGCCGCGTACTGTACCCATAAATATTACTAAATTATTTATGGCATAACATTGAGGTCTTAAATTGAATTTTGAGAAACAGAATAAAAGTTTATTTTAAATGTTACCTGGAGCTCAGCTTCTGCCTTCTCGCTGACAACCGAGGGGCTGGGACTGGTGGGTCGAGGCAAAGAATTGGTTCTTGATGCCCCAGTGCTATGACTGAGTGTCTCGGAGGACACGGCACTTGCAGGTGAAAGTGACCTGAAATCAGAGTTTTAAGAAAATTATGAACACACGTCCACAGAGGATAGACAGCCTGACAACTTGTGGATATTGAAGAATTAAAGATTTTGCTGAAAATGGAAGCAAAAGGGGATAAACAAACCAGGACATTAAAGTATATGTAATGCGCTATGTCATTACAGAAGTGTCAAGTAGTTATGGTACAAATAAGAAAAAATAATGACCACCTGATGATGCTGTTCTTCTGGGTTTTGGAACCATATCATCACAGATTTCGTGTCTTTAATATCATGCAATGGCATGGAATGAGAATTCAGAGCCCTTCTCCACGTTAATAAACTATGACATAGGTAGGGAGGAACGTCGGTTGGGGTTTAATATTTTCACGTTCAAACAAAGTTCTCCCAACCATAAAATCTGGGTGCAAAAATACCGAGTCCTTGTTTACACGAACCGCAGGTAGCGACCCAGTTCTTTTGCTGCTAGTTCGTTTAGCAAGCCACAAACACGTGCTGATAGAAAGTAGCCTTTTTTTTTAATCTCGGCACCAGATGAAAATGGGATGTGAGCTCAACGTTCAGTCGCTTTAATCCCGCTTAAAGAAGTCCAACATCCAGGCATGTTTGTTGGACCCCCCAGGCAGTTTCGGCACTGGGGTATAGATAAAAATCAGTATACAGCTTCGAATGAATAAAGAATCGGTCATGAACTAATGTAAGTTACAGTCCCAGCACAAGTCTGGAAGAACCGAGGAAAACCACGAAAGATATCAGTAAAAATAGTCAGTATCCGGACAGATATTTTAATCTGCGAACTCCAGAAAATAAAGCAGCAGTGCCAACCACTCGGCTGTGACGTTTGTTAACTATCGACTCAAAAAATTCTGAGTAGGTCTACAGCTCTGGTACGCAATGAGATTTTTATCCACTGTTGAAAATATATCAGAGGCGTATAAACTCTTTGCAGCCGATAAAGAAAATCAGTTATTACTACAAAGAAAACAGTAATTGTCTAATCTGAGAGTTATAAATACATTCTGTGGGCAAAATACAGTGTTACAGATTATTGAAGCTAGTGGCAAATACACTTACAACTGGGCTTTAGGCAGAAACAATTACCTCCTCCCCCCTCCAGACATGTAGGTTTTGAACCCCACGAAAAACACGACGGGCAGACAGACATGGATAGGCCCATAAGCTGTTAAAAAAATTGACACTTTCGAAACATCGCTATTTTTTTTTTTTACATCTGGAGGAACATGCACTCTGACGGGTAAGAAGAGAACTACAATAAGTGACAGAACCATGGCTCTTAGAGGAAATGGTGGTATAGCATCATGAATTTTTAATTCTCTGCAGTAGGCGGACGACTGGCCAGCTTCACGCCTCGGCTGCTTTAACCTAATTAAAATATCTTCCGGTAACCGTCAGAAGAGGGGTTGGTTTGCCCCAAAATCGTGTGGATGTTGTGGCGGAAAGAAAAATATTTGCCCCCGCCGGTAGTCGAATCCCAGTCGACTCGAAACAGACGCAAAAGCGATTTATCGAATTCGGAAAGGCACAAACGTCATATTTAGGGAACCCTGACTTCGTTAACACATCGGATGTGTGAGCACTTTAAGCTGAATCAAAGATGCTGTAACTGGAGTGAAAATACAAACTGGTACGAGGAGAGGCGAGGTGCTGAGGGGTGCTAAGGACAGGGACGACGGGTTATGTGGGGGGGTGAGCGGGGACGATGGACGTGGAGAGAGGGAACGGCGATCAATAGAGATGCTACGGAAACTGCAGCCAATGTGACTGCATTGTTTTACTACGAATAACTTTTGCTTGTTGGAGAAAGAACTGGTAACGTATTTTATTAAAGTGGGTCGACTATTAAACTAAATTACTAAGTGGACATCTTAACACGCTGTTCCAACTACTACTGTTATTTTACTTCAAATATATGAATAATAAGTAGTACGAAGATTATATTCTGAAACGCGAATAACTGAATAAAAGAACACAGACAAGCAAGAAATTTTACTCCTAATATACGAGGCGCGTCCACAAAGTAAGTTTCCCACTCGTCCCACAGCTAGCAAACCTTATATTGCGCGAAGCGACTGTGCGTACGTGATAGAGCAATGACGTAGCATGGCGCATGCACTAACGGAACTTCCCGCGTTCTCACAGTAGCATCGTTGCAGCTGTTGAAGATGGAGGTTCTTATTCCAGCTCCCGCCGACTGTGAAGTGCGGTCAGTGATAACGCTAGGCCGCACACGGTTCGACGGACAGCAAGTCTCCTGCAGGAGTTCAGCTGGGAGGTGTTTAATCATCCACCCTACAGCCCGGACCTCGCTCCCAGTCATTTCCATCTTTTCCTACACCTCAAGAAATTCCTGTCCGGTCAGCGTCAGCGTTTTGAGAATGACAGAGAGGCGGAGATGGTTGTCACACAGTGGTTCCAATCCCAGGCGGCAGACTTCTACGACACAGGTATTCCAAAGTTGGTCCCACGGTATGACAAATGTCTCAATTCCGGTGGCGAATATGTTGAAAAATAGCTGGACACTTGCTGTATCTGTTGCAATAAATATTTCCATGAAATTGTGTCATGCGATGGGAGACAAAAGTGAAATTGGAAGTACACACACAGCGTAACGATTATAACTCGTGCGGTCTGTTACTGCCTCCAGATTTTCAGCTCGAAAATGATAACTTCTGGTGCTTTGTTGTAAACAGACACGGCAGACGATTAGGGACGTAAACATATAATAAGAGAATCAATAGAATAAACGTTGGTCTGACGTCATGGAAATTCAGAATTCTTGGAACGAAAAAAAAACCCTGTTCGTACAACAAAGGAAATATAAAAAGCCACCATTACAAATACCAGATGGTTACAAGAAAATTCTATTATGTAAAATGGACATTAGAATTGTCAGATCAAAATTAGAATTGAAATTGCTCGACATTCTTTCGTAAAACTCCACAAGATCAGATTTTACGGCGTCATAATCCACGACATTAAAAAGAACTTAACTCTAAAAACCAGATATCAGATGTCTACAGCATGTTATCAGTACACAGAAGACGTTCATGCTAGGATGATGTTCTATGACGCTGTGTAGATCTTAAGATAGATACAAACGTTTCAGAGAAATACACGGTTTCCATCTTCCAGCTTCAACCTCTGTGAGAGAATGTCACGTTTCCTGCTTCACTCATGTGTCAGATAAGTTGCCGCACTAGCAAGGCGCCAGAAACTTCGTATGCATACAAACACTTGTAATCGTATTTCTGTGTGGGTACGTTTAATTGGTTTTTTTTAATCAAATGGCAATGCGAATCTTAGGCACATTGTTTTTGAGGTTATGGTCTTAATTCTTCAGACTTCTGTGATGACGGCGACAAATACGTTCTCACGGCGGCGAGAATGAAGATTAACTGTATTCTGGGGTGCTACCGTATAGTCGAACAGCATACAAGACAACCGATAAACACAGTGAATATCTGCTAAACGCGAAAGTATACAAGAGAAGAGGAAAACAACGAATGAATGAACAAAACATAAATGGACGAATAAACAAAGAAATAATAGTAATAGATGTCATATGGCTAATCTATGGATTCGAGGAATGTAATAAATATCTAGGCATGCACATAAGTGTGTGTGTGTGTGAACGGAGAAGACACAAGACGATGGATACTTTTTTATTTCTAATTTGATTACGTCTGAAAATGAGCGACTGCCAACATTACAACATTACAAACAACGAATGCGCCTTTCCAGTGTGCCAGATGCATTTGGTTTTTGCCTACTCAGCCGTCAGAATACTAAGTTCCAAAAACCGATCTATCTATGGCTAAAATAACATACTTTTGTTATGGTTCGAATGCAATCAAACATGACACGAAACACAGCCAATGCACTGTGCGTTGTATATCTCTTGCATTGTCCTCAATATTCGCAACGGACAATACGTTTCATTCTGAAACCTGCTGATTTCTGTGTCACAGAAATATTAACTTCAGTTCAGCTGAAGTTACACCTGGATCTGTGAATGGGACGCCAGTTACTGATAGCAGAATGTAAAGTTTTATATGAATCTTGTTCAGCAGAACACATCTGAAGCCTGAAACACTTCGTCAATGCTAGTTGTCTGCTGCACAATATTCTGCAGTAGAATATTAAAGTAACCAAGTTACTGTCAAGTAGAATGCGAGGTTTTCACGGCGGTGAGTACGAAGATGGATGTCTTCCGGGTTGCAGCGCCGTGTAGTCTAGTAGAAGTTCAAAAGAGAGAGAGAGAGATCCCTGTTGCCTCCATCATAAGTGCGATCGCCCCAATGAGCAAGGATCTCTGAAACGTTGGTAAACTTCTACCAAGACTTTTATATATTATTTAGTGTTCTGTCTGACGATAGGTCCATATGAACAGGATCCTTCGATCCTTTTCTCGGACTGGGACCTGTTCATATGCGTTCTTGGCAGATGATCCAGAAGTGGTTTGCCATTGCCTTCTTCTGTGTGTGAATGGGATGCCACGGAGAAACCGGGGAAGCCCCCGGAGGAAAACTCCGTGTTGCCTAGACCACGGCCTTGCCCAACACAAGTTATAAATTCGGGC